CGAGGATTAGTGACAATTTTGTAATTACAGAGGAGTTTTAGCATGGAGCCACTGAAAGGAAAACACTGGGAGAGGACTTGTATGACTGGGTGTCTACTGTCATCAAGAAAATGAGGCTACCATGGAGTAAACTTGCTAATGTCACGACAGATGGATCTCCAAATTTAACTGGAAAAAATGTTGGACTGCTAAAAAGAATTCAGGATAAAGTGAAAGAGGAGAACCCTAACCAAGATGTTATTTTTCTTCACTGTATTATTCACCAGGAATCATTGTGCAAGTCTATATTACAACTTAATCATGTTGTTAATCCAGTCGTAAAGCTTGTTAATTTCATTCGAGCAAAGGGACTTCAGCACCATCAGTTTATTAAGTTTCTGGAGGAAACTGATGCGGATCACCACGACTTACTTTACCACTCTCATGTCCGCTGGTTGAGTTTGGGCAAAGTTTTCCAACGAGTGTGGGAGCTCAAAGAAGAGATTGGTGCATTTTTGAAATTAAAGGGGAAGTCTGACGAATTTACTGAGCTGAGTGACAAGAATTGGCTGTGTGACTTTGCATTTGCTGTAGATATATTTTCACATTTGAATGAGCTAAATGTGAAGCTACAGGGAAAAGATCAGTATGTACATGACATGTACACTAATGTGAAAGCCTTTAAATCGAAGCTGATGTTCTTTTCCAGACAAATTTCAGACAAAGTCTTCACTCATTTTGCCACACTAGCCACACAGAAGGAGACCATCCAAAATGTGAAGAAATACAGCAAATCACTGGATGACCTGCATGCAGAATTCTGTCGTAGTTTTTCTGATGTTGAAAAAATTGACCAGTCACTTCAACTGGTGGCCTGTCCTTTGTCACAAAACCCTGAAACAGCACCAGAAGAGGAGCAACTGGAACTCATCGATCTTCAGTCTGACTTTGTCCTAAAGGAGAAATTCAGCTCTCTTGAACTAAGAGACTTCTATGCTTCACTTAATGAAGCCACTTTTCCAAACATCCTGAGGATGGCACAGAAGATACTGGTGCTGTTTGGGTCAACCTATGTTTGTGAGCAGACATTTAGCGTCACGAACATCAACAAAGCCCCTCACAGATCCAGTTTAACTGACGAACACCTCAGATCTATCCTGAGAATAGCCACAACAAAACTAACTCCAGACTTTGATGCATTAGCTAAAAAAGGAGACCAACAACACTGTTCCCACTGAAGTTGATGTTTTAAAGACCAAAAACCTTTCAACCCAGTCTACATTGCCATCTACATCTATGTCCCGAGCATAATTTGGAAGTTGCACTAAAGAAAATGTTTAATTTACTGTTTACACATTTTGTTCTTTTCTATTTGTTTTAGTTTTAAATTATTTTATTATATTTAAGTTTAATTTGAAAGGCTTTTGTACCTTTCCTTTGTTAGGCAATTTTATTTTGCCTTTGCCATCTTCAATATAAGGTATGTTATTGTGCTATGATTCCTCCATTTTTTGAAGTTTCAAATTATAATAATTAGTGTTTACATTCTTCTTGTTAAAATGTTTGAAATGAATAAAACTATTGAAATAAAAAAAAAAGACCGTACCCTTTTATGTAATGATGTTTACTTTGAATTTATATTAGTTCACACAAACACTCCACCCATGCTTTTGTTCCGGCCCTCTGGTCCAGTTTAAGAACCCATTGTGGCCCTCGAGTCAAAAAGTTTGCCCACCCCTGGTCTAGGGTCCGGCCCTACTTTCATACTGAGTAATCCTTTGTTTATTCAGGAATCTGGGCCCCTCTCCTCTCTGTGCCCCACCCACTTCCCTTGTTCAGTCCCCCTCCCCCCACACCTTGGCTGGAGGTGATGACACCTGCTGACTGCACATCCCTGAGTGGCGGACGCAGGGGTTATGGGAAGTGTTCAGAGGCCTGACCCACAGCAGGTCAGCCCCCACAGAGGTACAGGTTGTGAGATATTAGATACCTTTGTCCCAGTTAGTAATTAGCTGCTACCTGAGGTCCCACAGGCACCTTCCCCTTGGTAACCCAGCTCCATCTGCAGGACCCCCAGATCTTTTCCCATTTAGTTTCAAAGAATGGAAGCCTTATTTATCAGGGTACGCCCAGCATTTATTCTGCTGGGTTTTTGTGGGTGCCCGTGAATATGTGATCAGAATGCTTGAGTTCTAGGTCTGTGGGAATGTGGGATCTGAACTCTGAACCTTCTTCACAGATGGTGTTGATTTGGCCATTGGGGGACCCAGGAATTGGCTTCCAGCCATGGCGGCAGCGGCACTTATAGCTGCCCACATTGTTGAGGCAGTGGGTGGTTTTGTGGCAGGGGTTTTGCCCCGAGGTACATTCATTCACATCTGAGGACAAAGCCAGAGCGTCAGGCCCTCCCCGCACCCACTTCTCATTGCCTGAGGATCCCACCGTTAGTACACATGCCACCACCTGGTGACCTTCAACTTCACCCTCAAAGCACATTACGGTGGCCTACTGACAAGATGGACACGACAGGCACCATGGTCTCCAGTTTATAGGTGGCAAATCCAGGAGGGAAACTGAGTCACAGGGACTAGGTTTCTTGACCAAGGACTCCTGCCTACACCCTCCTGAGCCCTGGCCCTGGTTCCCTTCTGAGAACCAGAAGTCACACCTCCTTCTGCTGCATGTGACAGATGAGGAAAGGGAAGGGTCTGGGGGTGCTCACAGAGGTACAAGGAAACCCCAGGCCCAGAAGGCCCTGTCACTGCCCTGCTCTGTGGCAGGAATTTTCACAGAAGCAAATCCTTAGGCAGGGCCTTGGCAGGGAACCTGAGAATCTTTTCCTGCCTCCTGGGGCTGTGGGCCTGCGTCGGCTCCTTCCCCAGCTCCATCCAGTCCA